ATGAAATAAATCAATATAAAGTTAAGATATACGATGCGTTTTGAAGAATTTTTGAAAAGCAATTTATTATCCTGTTTGAGTTGTATAAACACATCAAAAAAATAAAGAAAAATTCTAGAAAAAATCACATAATGCAAATAATTGATGATGGCAAATAATGAAAAAATAAGATATATATAAATGCAGTATTTTAATACAAATGTACAAAGTCAGAGTAGCGAGCAGGGACAAACTGACTTATGCTACTCTGTCAAAGTATATAAATCAAATATGGAGAAAGTTGCTAATTTGCATATTGTCAAGATTAGTGAATATAAGTATTTCCATAACCTTAAATATTGTATTTGTGGTACATTACCAATTGAGATAATAGGTCACATCCCAAGCCAAAGAATATATTCTCAAAGGTGTTACTCCAGACGACTTTATATGTAAGCATGCTGCACCTTAGGTGGATTATAAAGAAGTGCAGTCAAAATTCAAGAAAGCAAATTTAAGATATATGATGACAGCCATGGATTCCCACTTTTGCAAAAAAAAGCAGCATGGTGATACACATTCAGGAGTTTTAGTAGGGTATTGGTTTTGGCTGAGTCCCACATTCTCCCTGCTACCTCGAGAGGTTAGTGCGAAATACATTTCTCCTGAATTAACAAAAAAAAAAAAAAGTATTTCAATACAAATGAATTCAATTTTGGCAATTAATTATAAAATAAAAAATGTTTTACCTTCGAGAAGGCTACATATTTCACATTATACATATTTAATACATACATACCTTTATACATATTTTATATGTACAGCAGTCAAAATAATTTTTAATGTCCACTATAATACTCCAGTAATAATTTTTATATTACTACCATAAAAAAATTGAGATTCTTCACTAATATCATTTTGAATTGTATTATTATCCAAAATTTCTAAATCAGATTCTTGATTTTCAGATAATTCTGAAGAAGAACTACTCCAAGGATCAATATCCCAATCATAAAAAATATTACATTCATTTGTTATTTTTTCCATTCTTTCTAAGCAAAGAAACACAGATATTGCTTTTCTTAACTTTTTTAATAATCTGTAAAATAATTATAAAATATTTATCATAGTTTGTAGTATAGAAGCTTCGCTTCTAGAGAAGACAGCGGATTTGATGTCCATGGTAAAATTGTTATTGTTTATAAATATTGAAAAATGTAAACATTAAATATGGGATAATAACAATATATTGAAAACTTTTTTTTAAAATTTATTAAAACTATTAATATTCTTACTTGTAATTTTTTTCTTCAGATAATATTTGGACTGTTAATCCATTGGCTCTTTTTATGTCAATAGCATTTTCAGATGTGACTACCACAGATGAGATTTCTGATAATGGAAATCTTAAAATATTTTTATCAGGTATTTTTATACTAAGAATTTGATACCAACTCCTACTAATGACTATTCCTAAATCTTCTTCCCTATCCATTATTAAATCCCAAGTTTTCATAAAACGAAGGCAGAATATAAGGCACATTGATAAAAAAGCAGCATGGAGTATAAAATAATCTATAAATTAAAAATTATCTTTAAACCTTTTTAAATTTAATTTAACATTACTTTTATCATATAATAAAAGCAAATATATATATAGAATTTCTAATGTAATGTAATTAATATTAAAATTAATGATATTAATAATAAATGTAGTAAGAGATAAACTTAAAATAAATACAAATAAAAACAACTTTTGCAAAGAATAATTTAAAATAAATAGGTTTTTATTTCGAATTTGTTGTAATATAATTATTGACAAAACAAATACATAAATAATATTTAAATTTTATTAAAAATTAAAAGGTAAAAAATTTAATTTTTTTTTACAAATACCAAATTTAAAAACTTAACTTATGACTTGTTAAACTTTTAAACTTTGTTTATTTAAAACTTAAATTATCGTACCAGGGATTAAATAAAAGTCTGTAAGAAGTCCAATAAAAATAATAGAAATAAAAGATATCCAGACAATGAGTCCTGGTTCTTTAGATATGCGCAGTCTGGTTTTTGTACGATATTTTATTATAGGATAACTTAGTAATTTCATATTATATATATTTATTTTTGGCATTAAATAATAAATGAAATATTAAGACAACTTAAACTGTAGATTTACGATAAACACTAGAATTAGTCGATCGTTTTACATTTAATTTTTAATAAAACATGAAGTGTATCATGAAATATTTTTAAAAATGATATCATTGTTTGAAAATAACCCGCACTTAAAAAATAAACAAAATACCAGCTGGCATCAATTGTTACACTTTTACTTTCAAATCAAATTACCAATCTTATTACGTAAAAAAAAAATTTCCCTCAAATTAAAACAGTATAAACTTACAATTCCTGAACGCGCTTTAAAACTTTGACACAACCTCTGACATGGAGGGTGTTATCAATGTAAACTATATGTGACGTGAAACAGATAATATTAAAAAATTACTTTCTTATTTAATTACTAAAATGAATTCCTAGTATGTATAATGGTTTCTTTTTAAATTTTATTAGAATTGTTATTTGTTTAGCAATTATTTTAAAAATACTTTTACTCTTTACACATATATACATTTAAATTAATAAAATAAAAGTATATCTACGTGTTTCAAATATTGACATTTTATTAGCAACTTAAAAAGAAAAAATTTTTTAAATTGAATTTTCGTAAAAATTTTTGTTGTGATTATAAAAAAAAAAAGTTTGTAATTTAAACATATTTCCATTTTAGCCAAGGACAATATTTTAGAGATGCCGCGCCAGACTCTACTATTACCAAAGTTGAACGACATTATTGGATAACAAAGCAAAATGTTTTTAAAAAAATTGGAAAAAAAGAAGATGATTGTGTAGTTGCTTGTGATGCTGAACTTGATGCAAAATTGGAGCTTTTTAGATCTATTCAAGATAGTTGTTTAGAATTACACAAAATTATAGATCAATATCAAGAAAGAATTTGTTGTAAGTATTTTTTTTTAATAAAATACAAATAAAATTTAAAAAAGGTCTTATAACTCAAAAGGAATTTTTAGAAAATTTTTAATTAAATTTTTGTATTTAAACATTTAACTCTTAACACTTTTTGTAGGTTTAGCACAGGAACAAAACTCAATGGGTAGATTTTTAAAAGAAGCTGGGAAAATAGACAAAACAAGAGCTGGAAAAATGATGACAAATGTAGGAAAATCTCTTTCATTTTCCGGACAACAACAGCTTATTTTGAGAACTCCTCTTCTAAGATTATCTCAGGAAGTTGAAACTTTCAGGCAAAGGGCAATTTCAGATACATTGTCTACATTAAAAGCTATGGAAAAGCAAAGAATTGAATATCGAGCTGCTCTTAGCTGGATGAAAGACGTCTCTCAAGAGTTGGATCCAGAGAAACATTTAGACAAATTTCGAAAGGTTTAAAATTTTTTGTTTATACTATTTATAAATTTTAATACAACTAATAACTGACAAATAAAATATTTAATATATATATATATATATATATCATGTGCCTGAATGGATAATGTTCCAGGTTCAGGGCCAAGTAAGACGAAGCAAAATGAGATTTGATAAATCCAAATTAGACTGCCTTCAAAAAATTGATTTGTTGGCAGCAGCTCGCTGCAATATGTTTTCTCATGCTCTTGTTCTTTATCATAATAACCTTTTACAGTATTGTGAAAAAACTTCTAATGCTTATCTAACAATTGCTAACAGTTTTAAAGGTTGGTCTTAATTCTAACAACACTAATTAACTTTAAAATGTTTAGTTTTTTTTTTTTTTCGTTTAACTAATTATAACTCTTCTCAAAAAAATAACAAAAAAACCGAGAAACTTATTAAGTAAATTGCTGTTGTTACATTTGTTATTGGAATGTCTGCTTTAATTTTAGGATATCAGCATTATGATTTTTGCGTGATTAAAGAATTGGCAGAACCGTCTTTAAAACTAGCAGAACAATTACAAACCAATGAAAACAAACCGAGTGAGGGTGAATCTGAAAAACAAGAAGAGGATAAAGACATGTAAAAATATATATATGTATATATATATATTTATTTTATAGGGAAATAAATATTTATAAAAAATAAATTTTTCATTTACAGCTTACTGTTTTTCGACTCTGAATATAAAGATGTTGCAAGCGAAGAAAAAAAGTCGTTACAAGAATCTAAAAAAATAAATCCTGAAGAATGTGCTGTTGTAGCTCCCGTTTCTCAACCTCTTTTAGATTTAGAAAATCTCACACTGACAAACGAAACGAGCGATTCTTCAAACGGAATACAATTATTAGGTGATATATTTGCCGACAAAGGAATCGATGAAAATTGGTCGAAAGAATGGGAAGAACTTTTCCAAGTTAAAGACGAGTCGGCTAAATCATTTTCATCAAAAGAAATTAAAGAAGAATTATGCGGTGAAATTCAATTGACATCAAACGATAATTCAAATTGTTTGCCTTCTACTTTACTTAACAAAATGCAATTAAGAAGTCACAAGTTTGATCTCGGTAATTTTATTTATTTATTTTTTTTTTTTTGTTAGATAATAGTTATCATCATCATCATCATCACATTAAATCATGTTTTTTTTTTTTTATTTTTATAGAAGGATTGCAGCCTGAGAAGTTTAGTGCTCAAGATTCGAGCTTACAAATGCCTCAAAAGGTAAGAAAATAAATTAAAATTTATCGAATCGTTTTTATAATTTTTGGAGTAATATGGCGTTTTTTTTTTCAGAATCCAAAATCTGGTAAAGACATGTCTACCTGGTTTAGTTTATTTGCAGATTTAGATCCATTAGCCGATCCAGATGCTGTTGGAAAAAAATTAGAGAATTCGGATCGTAATTGCTAAATAATTTTAATTTAAAAAATCCAATTTGTATTGGTGAAAGGGTTTTACTGTTTTTTTGTTTTTTCTGTACTTAAAAAAAAAAATTTTTCGAATCGACCATTGAATTTTGTAAAAAAAAAAAAAAAAATCATAAATGGGAGAGAAAGTTTCTCCAGTGTGAAATTTGTTTATTCCTTTTATTACATTGTAGTTATAATTATTATTATTATCATTGGTTAAATGCATGTCACTTTAAAATAAAAAATAAATTATTTTAAATTAACTATTATTTTTTTAATAATGTTTTTTTTTTGGCAATGGGGAGTCTTTTCAAATTAAAAAAAAAAAAAATTTTTTTACTCTATGCGTATTTACATTAATATAATAATAATAATTTATTATCGGTTTAGGGTTTTTTTTTTTTTTTTTTTTTGTATTTTATTCTTGCTTAGTTACCGCGAATTTATTTTTAAATTTTAATTTAATCAATAAAAAGTAATTAAAAATAAAATCCAATCGGAAAAATTTTTTTTTCCCAACATCATCCTTTCCGATTTCAAATTTAATGTTTGATGAAAAAAAGTGTTAAATTTTTTTTTTTTAAATTTCAAAAATTTAATTCTTACTTAAATATATTTATATTTATTTATATATATAATTTACTTAAAATTAAATTATTTGGCATGTTTGATATTGTTTTATGAAAAAAAAAAACCTTTTACAATATTTAAATTTTTTTTTTGGAAAATGGAGGCATTCAAGGATGATTTTTAATGATTTTTTTAACAAAATTATTACTATTACTTTTTATAAAAAAAAATTATCTCCGAAGAATCTTGACAAGGAAAAATTTAATATTTTAAATTAACACTGAGCTGTCAGTCAAGAAAACCCTCGAAAAATAACTCTGAACATCATGCTTCCGAAAACTGTGTCATGGCAGTTTTGACTCTAAAATGATAAAATGTACGCGTCGCGATGTAATTAAATTAATAATTTATATATATATATATAATCTAGAAAAAAGATGGAATCCCTCTCTTACTTATCGAACAAAGCCGTATCGGATGTCATGATTAATTGTTGCAATAATTTATACACTCCCATATCCTTAAGACGAACTTGACGTTCAGATGCACCGGCATCTTCTCTCCAAACCAAATTTGATATGCAATAAACTGCAGCAATTTGAAGTTTAACGTTAGAATGCATCTGTTAACAAATAATAATGAAAATGTTAAAACGCTTCATAACAAACAAATGGAAAAAAAAAGAAATTTTTTTTTAAATTCTTGCCATGTAATCGGTTAGCTTTTTTAAAACATCTTCATTTGCCATTATGTAGTCTTTTGCGGAATCGCCATCAGCAATATTTGCTAAAATACACAAAGCTTGCTCTTTCACTTCGGCACTATGACTTCCTTCTAAAATTAAAATGACGGCCTGCAAATAAAAGCATTTTTTTTTTTTTTAAGGAATGCTATAATTAATTTTTAAAAAATTATATTATTTACTTCCAGGTATTATACCTGCATGATTTGAATAGCATGGAGGGACATTATATGATCGATATGAGGCTTCGTAGAGAGTAAATTTCTTAACAATCCTAATGTTTTCATCAAAACGCTAACTTCGCTATCGGAAAGTAATCTGAATATTTGATCTGTACCTAATGATACTAAAATTTGAGATTTGATTTTTTGCTCAGCTTGAAAAGCCATATTCTGTAAAAGAAAACAAACATTTGATAAAAACAAACATTTGATTATTTTACAAACAAAAAAAGTAAAAATTTTTTTTTTTTTGCCTGACTGACCATTAGAGCCCATATACCATTAAGTCTTAGAGCAGGATCAGGTCTTCTTGTAAGATCGCAAAGAAGATCAATGGCACCCGATTCTAATATTGGTTCTTTAGAAGGTGAAAATTCTAATAGTAGGTTACACAATGTGGAAGACGCAACCGTTAAAATATCATCGTCTCCTTTTAATAATTGCATCAATGGTTGCCAAACTCTGTGATCCTGTTCGAGACCAAAAAAATAATTTCCATAATGTTTAACACAGGAGTTAATTCAAAAAAAAAAAAAAAAACATAATTTTATTACTTGAAATGTTGTCCTTAATTGTTGAACGGATCTAGATAGAGAATGTAAACATCTGACAGCAGCCAATTGAACTCCCGGACTAGGTTCCTCTAAACCTGCAACAACGTGTTGCATTAAATTATCCGTGTCAATGATTCGCTTTCGAATGTCTTCATCATTGGCTCCTAAAGAAGCAAAAGCCTAAAATGAAAGTAACAAGGTTCGATAAAATTTTTACTGCTAATTTCATTGGTTTAATTTATATAGGTTTATGAGTAGCACTTACCCTAAAAGCTGCTTGTTTCATGTCTTGCGACAATTTGTGATCAGAGGCTAATGGCATTCCCCTTAATAATCCTGCCAAAGTTGGTATTAAATGATTTGATATGGAAGCTAACCTTTGTAATTCCATGTCAACTTCAGTTAAAAAAGCTAACGTTTCAGCAGCTTCAACTCTTTGAGCAGGAGGACAATCTTCTTTACAAAGTCTGACCTGAGTGGTTTTATCAAAATATTTTAAATATTGCAACTTTCATATTAACATATTTCGAATCAATCTTCAAAAATATAATTAAAATATATAAATTTTTCTTACTAAACAAGGTAAAGCCCTGTATAATATTTTAGAATCATTAGCAGGAATGGCACCAGCTCTTTGAAGATTTGCAAGAACTTTTGCAGCCGCAAGTTGCACATCTGTCGGTCTTGACCTACCTGTCAGAGCGACTACCAGTTCAGGAATACTTTTACCATTATAGCTATTAAACAAAAAAATTATTTGCATAAGTCTTGATTAATTTCATTAAATAAATAATGAAAATTATAAAATAACTTATTGGTACCTAGTAGTGGCCACTACTGAAGAAACTACTGGATTTTGAAAAGTTATATTTGCCAAACAACACAATGTCGGCATTTGAACTTTATAATGTGACGAAAGAAGTAATGCTGCCAAAGTGCCTACAGCTCCTTGACTGCATAAAAGTGCTTGCCTTTCTGCAGTCTATAAAAAAGTTTTATACTCATATTCAATATTATTTTCTATTAAATACATTTAATTAAAAAAAAAACTTACTTTGCATGCTGTGGCCAAAACTGTGGTTACACAAACTTGATTCGAAACTGATTGAAGAGCTAAACTGAGTAAATGTGAAGTGAGATTTTCATCGTAGTAAAGTAAATCTACTGGGGCATGTTGAGATTTAAATATGCTTCTCAAGCAGCACAGACAATATTCTACTAATTTGACATCATTACTGACTAACCCTATTAAAATTAAATCAAATTCTTATTGTTCACAAAGTAAATAATTTTACTTGAAAAATTTTAACTTGTCATTTTGGTTTAAATTATGACTTTGAGTAATAAAAAAGCACAACAATATTCAATATAAAACTATGAAATTTTTTTTTTTTTAAGTTATCAAACATATATCAAATTACAAAGTACATTGTGATAAACTTACCATTAAGCAAATGAGGAACAACACCAAAATCAACTAAAGCTTTAATGTGCTCATCAGTACCTTTTGCAAGTGATCCTAATGTAACAGTAGCTTGAATTTTTACAGGATCAGGAATATTAGGATCACTGAGTAGATGTATTAATCTGGGAACAACCCCTTGTGAAATTACAGTACCTTTTTGTCGATTACTTCCAATCACTGAGTTTTTTAAGCATCTTAAAAAGAATAATAATAATTTCACATAATAATTTTATTCATAATAATACTTAGTTGAAAGGTTTTTTACTTCTGCAAATTACTCACATGATAGCTTGTAAACATTTATCCATATCATTCGAATATAATTCATCGACATACGATCTAGAGCTCTCCACATCCTTTAAAACAAATAAAAATTATAATTTTAATTCATTAATACGTAAATATATTTTTAAAATACTTTTAATGAATAAATATTTTAGTTTTTATATCATGTTCATAAATTTATTTTTTCACTAAGAAAATGTAAAGTGAAACCTTTAATAATACTCACCATAAAGGGCTGCATAATGGGCACCATGTTTTAAATAATTAAAAAAATAAAACCTTTAAAAGAAAAATTAGAAAATAAAAAAAAACAACGAAATATTATTAACAACAAAATAAAAACAATTTAAAATTCTTATACTAAACGTTTTAGGTAAATGACACGAGAGAATTTTGTCTTTAAAATGCGGAATGTCGACGATTCAAACGTAACTGCGCCATTTTTTTTTTTTGAATTTCAGTGGTCCAAGGCAAAGGATTTTTTGTTTTAAATTAATCAAATTTTTAAATTTGAAGTGAAATTTACTGAAGCATTATACTTGTAAGTATTACAAATTTAAAATTATACAAAATCTACAAAATTATGATTTTCAATTTTCAAACATAATTTTTTATGCTCTAATGAATGTTTAAGCTTTTAATTAAATTAAAAACTGTATTTACAGTTTGATATTATTTTAAAATGAAAATTAAAATGTAATGTTAAAAGTTTTAAAAGATGTCTAAGAGAAAGAAAAATATTTAGAAAAAAAAACATTATCATGAATTTCTTTATTAATGAATACTTGATTTTGGTTTCATGATGATTTCCCTTAGAAATTTAAAAAAAAAAAACCAATCAAAATTTTAATTTAAACTCATGTTTTCAAATAATTAATAAAAACAAAACAAATATTAGTTTCAAATTAATTATCAATTAATTTAAAATATAATATTGTTTACAAAATGCTTAGTTACACATAACTCCATGCTTGCATATACATATCAATTATTGATTAGATGAATGAAGTACCTGAAACAAAAAAAAATTTTTTTTTTAAATTGAAATTTAAAAATTCAGGTATACTATATATGCTAATAGATACTTACTTGTGAGAAATCTACACCGGTAAGAGATTTTACAACATTAGGAATTTTTGAAACAATTGAAAAAACTTCATCAGTCAATTTTGCAGGACCCATATCTCCATCACCATTGGCCACCATAGTAATTTTTTTAGTTTGAGCTAATGGATCAGCTACTTCAGCAGCAATCTGTAATTTTTATCCTTATTTAAATACTTTTCTTTCCTTTTTTTTTAAATTGAAATAATCACACATAAAATATTGTCACATCATACCTTGGGTAATACTTGAATTATCATATCTAAAACGGCTGCATCTTTGTATTGACTCCAAGCTTCTGCTTTTTTTGACATTTGTTTAGCGTCTGCTTCACCCTTAGCAAGAATAGCAACTGCTTCCGCTTCCGCTTTTAAACGAATGGCTTCTTCTTCTGCTTGTGCTTCTAGTATAACTTTTTTCTTATTAGCTTCAGCTAATTTTTCAAGTCTAAATTTGAAATAATGAATTTTTTTTGGAAGGATCAACAAAAGAGACAAACAAGTTTCAAGTGTTAAAAATCATAATTTTGTTTGTTGAACAAACCACTGATAATATTTAACACATTAGTTAAATAAATATTAATAAATAATTAAAATTAATTGAAATAAATGAAACTTTTTCTGACCTGTATTTTTCTGCTTGAGCAGGAATTTTAACTGTAGCTTCTAATACTTGAGTCTTTCTTAATATTTCTTTTTCTTCAAGTTTAATTTCTGCTGATCTTTCTATAACTTTAATTTGAGTCTCTTCTTCTTTAATATTCTGTTTAAGAGTAATCGTTTCAAGTTCGAATGCCATATCAGCTTCCGCTTTTTTTTTTAACACTTCAATATCAAAATTTGCTTTTTTCAACTGATAATCCCTCCTAGATTTAGCTATTTCAGTGTCATTTGCAAATCTAAAAAAAAATAATTAACGAAAACGATTAATGATAATTTTTTTTTTAAATTTCTTTTTATAGGAAGGCATATATATATTTACTTTGCAGCCATTCTTTCTTCTTCTGCAGTAGCTTCTCTGATGGTTGAATCTCTTTTTGCTTCTGCTTCTCCTACTCTAGCATCTCTTTTAACTTCAGCTGTTCTAGCCATTCCAAGACTTTTTAAATAACCCTTTACCAATAAATAAAAAAAATTATGACAACAATTAATTAATTTTAATTAAGAAAATCATCTTGAAAAATTACTTCATCATCTCTAATGTCTTTGAGTGTGTATGAAACAACCGTGATACCCATATTGACCAAATCAGAAGAAGCCACTTCGAATACGTTGGCGCTAAACTTTTGCCTATTTTGATAAATTTCCTAAAAATAATTGAAAAAATAGTATAAATGGTGTAAATAAAAAAAAGGAAAAAAGATGATTGAACAATTTAAAACCTCAACGGTCATTCTTCCCATAATTGCTCTTTGATGACCTTCCAAAGTCAACAGAGCAACTCCAGCAATTTCTTCTTCATTTTTACCCAAAAATTGTTCGCAAGCAGTCAAAAGCATTTCTTCATTTTGACCCTGAATTTTAATTTGAGCAATACCTGTCACAGATATAGGAACACCTTGAATAGAATACACAATCGGGCTTTCAACTAATAAAGTCATTATATTGAGACTGATTCTAAAAACAATTAAATTTGTAAACAAAACCTAACTCTTTTCAAAATAATAATAATAATAATAAAAACTATAAAATAAGGGGGAGTACCTTTGAATTTCTTGAAAAATTGGCCATACAAAAGCTCTTCCTCCAGGTATCAATAATGGTTTTTTCAAACAGCATCCTAAATCAATTGATACATACATAAACAAAAAAATTTTTTTTTTTTAAAATTTCGATTTTAAATTAACTTACCGGAAATAATAAGGGCTTCGTTTGGTCCGCAAGTAACAAAACCACATCTCATTATAACTTTTCATAAGGAGACCATTTATTAATTAAAAACATTATTGAAATCTAGTCGTAGTTAAAATTTTTTTTGTAATGAAAAATCACAAGTAAAATCCAACTTTTGAAAATTAAAAAAAAAAAAAAAAAAAAAAATTTCTATATATAAATTTAAAAAATGGAAAAAAAAGAATTTCATTTTTTTTTTTTCAATAAAAATTATTTATAATTAAATTTATTATTCTATGGGAAAAAAAAGGCACGCCATTAAATTATATAGAGAGAAAGAGAGAGAGAGTACATTTAATAGCACATCTTTTCTTATCTTTTTTTATAGAAAGATGACACCGGTCGTCATCCCTCATCATTCAAACCACCTATCATTATTATCATCTTATTCTTCATCCTATATATATATATATTCTTGTGTTCGACGAAAGAGAGAGAGAGAGAGAGAGAGATTTCAATATTCGATCCTGATTATTCAAAGCCACGCGTCATATATATGTATGCAGTCATGATTCACAATGTTTATTGATCGTGAATGTCATGAACCTGATATTATTTGTGTATACAAAAAAATTGTTTTTATTATTTGAAAACAAGAATTTTACATCATCTCCATATTTTTAAATGCAAAAAAATTAACTTTATGGTAAATAAAAAAAAAATTAATCGTTGAACGAAAAAAAAAAAAAAAAATGGCGACGTAAAAAAAAAACATTCATGTTTAATAAGTTTCAATACTTGAATAAAGTTATAAAAATTATTATCAAATAAAATAATAATAAATATATATATTGAAATGATACGCAATCATTGTCACAATTAATTAAAATAAATAATAATTAATAATTTTATTTTATTGTAATAAGAAAATTAATAATATTTAAAACGAAAACTTTTTTTTTTATATTATAAATATATATATATATTTAAAAATTAATTTTTTTTATCAAATCGATAATTAATTAAGTTGTAAATTTAATTATATACATATTATTAAAAAAAATATTATGTAAAGGATTATAAAAAAGTTATGTTGTTAACGAATTAAACTGGAATTTTTTTTTTTTATCAATGGTATTATATATTAACGGGTTTGTTTTTAACTGGAGGCAGTTCCAAAACGTAGTCACGATACATTTTTTTTTTTTTTTTTTTTTTTGATAAGCCATACATTTTATGTGACATATACCTTAATACATAAAAGATAAAAAAACATAAATTATTAATATCAATTAAATCAACCCTGGGGGTGGAAGTTTTAATGAAAGAAAAAAAAAAAAAAAAAGGAAACGTTAAATGCAAATACGTACAACACACCAAACAAATATTTTTTAATTTTTTTTTTCTTTTCCTTTTATATATTTCAAACACCGTGACGTATTTTTTTTTAAATAATTGATTGTTAAATAAATTTATTAAAATTATTAAAATCACTCTCGTTTTATTTATAAAATTAATAATAATAATAATAATATTTTACTAGATGTATTATAAGAAAATGAGATTTTGAATCAGCAACTAATTTAATAAAACTAAAAGTTTTGTTATTTATTATTATTTAATTAATATGTAAAAAATAAATTAATA